CATTTATGCAGACAGGAGGAGTGCAAATATATGAATATATTTATACCATGGTGGTAAGTCCAAATGTAAATACATATAGCAGATACTGGGATGGCCAATGTTGCTTTTTAAACTAGGGAAATGTACTGTAAGTATCAAAAGATAATAATGGCAAAGGGGTCTTGTTAGAACAGGATTATGCAGAAGGCCAGATTAGAAGTTTTTTCAGCCAGAGTTAGCCTGTAAATTGGTCAGACCCAGGCTAAGATGAAAACTTGAATATATATGAGTCCCAAGACCAGCTGTCAGCCAAACACTTGTCCCTTCAGCTACAAAAAGTCAGTTTACTTTCTTTTAATGATGGAATAAGTAGCAGCAGCAACAGAAGTAGACAGATTTTACGTACCCTCATTAAACGTATTCTGACTGAACTGTAATTGATTTAGTTCAACCATTGACCTCAAAATGTTACGTTCATTTCCTTTCCATTTTATCATTTTATTTATCCCTTATTTATTAATATGAAATTGTAGAATGCAAGAAATGTGATTGGGTTCTTTTGAATGTTGTGGCAGTTCCTATGTTTTGGTGGGAAGAAGGGATGGAGACTTTTTCAAACTATTCTCAATTTCAACTTTATTAATTTGTGGGGTTCCAACCGTAACACCAATAGGATCAAAACATGACAGATCTGGCATCTGTCCATAACTTGACAAAATTGATTGTTCCTGCATGCGGGGATGATTCACTGCGGGGCTGGACCAAACCACTCTCGATCCGTAATCTTGCGTAGGGGAGCACTCTGCATTGCGCAAACCATTCCACAGCATGGGTGATGTGCCTAATTGCCATCCTTCAGTGGGGTACTGTAGGTTGAATCTGGGCGTATCACTTTCCTCCCGTGACCTTGCCCCATGGAAAGACAATGACTGTCCATTTTTTTTATCTGGATCAGGCAGCAAGTCTCCAACTCTTAGATTTGGAAAATCTTTCAAAAGATCCTGCGCTTTCTCATATTCTAAGTCGTTCTTTTCCTTCTCCACTTCAGCTTTATTCTCCTTTCCCTCTTTTTCCAGTCTACTCCCGAACCTCCTCTCTACCCCTTTCTTTAATATCCTCCTCCCACATAGAGTTTCAGCTCCTCCCCTTTGTTTTCTTCTTCCTCTACCAAGCAAACCTCTACACTCCTTTTCTGATCTACTAAGGTTCTTCCTGCCTCTCCTATATCATCCTTACTGACTCCTCTTTCCACTTTTGATGGTTCTATCGGTAAGGACGGCTCAGGCTCAGTTGCCTCCTGCTTTCCTTCACAAGAGGTCATGGGGCTACACAGACTAGTCCTATTCCATCACCTATGGGCAAAATACTTTCTTGTCATCAGTGCACTTAGACGGGGATGGTCTCTCCATTGATACTAACTACATGACTAGATGACCTGTATATAAATTAGATTCTGGTTGGATCATGATTCCACTGCATGCAGGGGTGCTCCATGTGTGTATGCCACATGCTTTCCAAAGATGCAAACAGATCTTTTTGCCACCATTCTTGGTAAAAAAAAGTGTGTATGTAGACACATAGCACTGCAACCTCTCCTTTATATACAGTATATGTTTAACCAGGGTGGGGGTGAAGGATTACTCAATAATAATATACACAGGGTGAAATATCTGGAAGGATAGAACTGTGGGAAACTTTCAAGGGGCATGTGACAGATGCAGGAAAGGACACAAAACTAGGATAAAATGAAATGAATTGCATAGTCTGAAGGCTGAAAGACGTAAAGAATTTTGGCAGTAGTTTCATATACAGGCAGAATATTTTACAGATTATTAATCTAAAATTCAAGCCCATGTCTTGGAGTTAATAACACTGCCAAAAACAAAAGAAAAACAAAACCACTCTTCCCTTTCCTTTAGGCCACTTAATTACAATAAACAACACAGTGAAAGTTGAGTCATGAAAAACAATCAGTTCTTTATATGAGTTAAAACTATGGATAGGAAATATAGATCGATCTGCAAAAGTGAGGTAAGAAATCCCTTTGTTTCATTTACTGGTACAGCAAAGCTAAATTCAGCATGCCATTTCCTTTATAAGTGCCTATTCAGAAATCAATTCTCTTCTATTTCATCTCTCTTCCATAAGATCCATTTGTCAAGCATCTTCCACCCTATACCACTCTGGCCGATTTCAGAGAGCTCCTCTGGAATTCATACAGAGAAAATTCCCAACTGGCTCCTAGAAATGCACTGTGAACTGCTTTGCACTAAATCACTGTTTAGTGTTAGGAGGACAAATAAGTCTTGGACTTGCATGCTCTCCCTCCCACATGGCCACAAGACGAATTTTCAAACTTTCACTCCCATTTTTTATTAACTCTATCATGTCGTATCGTTCCAAACCATTCTGACTTTGGTCTGGTGGCTAGTTTTCTTTCTCATGATCCTCCGGGACTGCATAGAAAACCCAAAATAGCAATAAACAAACAAAAAGAATGGACCTAGTATGGGCAGAAGGCTATTTTCAGTTTATATATATATGTAAAACAGTACAGGGGTCCCCGTTTCATTTTAAACAGTTGCAATTCACTCCTTTTTAAAGGAAAAATTTGCAAGGGACTGTAGTGGGCCAACACCAGCAAACTGGCAAGATGCCAGGGGGCCCAAAGCCAACATATGTATAGCACCTTGTTAAATGACTGCAGCATGTTTTTTTCTTGAACTCGCATAAACATCCAAGAGGATTCTGGCCACTATGCAAGCTTCCTGTTCCATTACAACTAAAGTGATGGGCACAATGAGCCCCTTCCTGTATACGTAACTATTGGAATGTACACTGAAAATGAGTCCTCCAAAAGGCGTAAAGCATCCCTTTTCTCCATCATCAAGCCTCAGCTTCCTGTATTTTTTTTAATCATCAATAACAAGGAAGAATACAGATGTTCTTATCTTTAAGATTAGTTTTAAATTCTCTAACATCAATTTTATTCCCTTTTAAAATTGCAATAAAATAATAATACTTCACAGAATTACTGTAGTCTTTTCCCTTTCTTGGCCAGTACAAGAAAGCTATTTCAAAATCCCAAGAGTCAAGTTCAATTTTTAGAAGCATATGTATGGCAAGGGTTTTGTTTCATTTTTCCACACAATCCTGACTTTGCTTTTTCTTATTATTATTTTTACTACTTATACATTCTGGAATGAAAATGTGTAAAATACATAACATATTCCACTTTGCAACACCATATGTTACCAAGAAAACTGGCAGTTTTCACACCAAATATTTTGACTTTTTCCATAGGAGGAAAAAAAAACTGCTACAAAACTATGAAAGAAATACCAACTACAAAAATAGCTGTTATATGTCATAAAACTGATATTAAATATCAGCTTTAAATATTGGATTATACCAGCAGTTATATCCGTTTGAGGAATCTAATGCTACCATGATAATTGAGATGGTTGGACAGTGTCATTGAAGCGACCAACATGAATTTGGCCCAGCTCCGGGAGGCAGTAGAAGACAGGAAGGCCTGGTGTGCTCTGGTCCATGGGGTCACGAAGAGTCGGACACGACTAAACGGCTAAACAACAACAACTATAGGGTGTTCTGTAACCATATGAATAACATCCTACACAGGTTTAAAATATGCTGACAATTTACAAAGGACCATAATGTTTCTTCACAGCCTATGGCAGTGTTTACACTCGAATTTTCAAGGCTAGGCCTTGCCCTCCAGTCACTTTGCTATTACACCGTGCATTTAAGAATAAAAGAATACTTTACATCCACCTATTATACACCTTATTTGACAGCTAGTGGTAAATATACAACTATGTTCATAACTATAGCAGCACTCTATTTCCATTCAAGAGCCTCTTTTAATTTCATTTGGATGTCGCACAAATGACTTTTAAAATACTGGTTTCTATTGTAAAAATGGATGCGTTCAGTGGCTCCAAGCGTTTGTAAACAATATATATTATACAGTTTCACAAAAATGATGTTTCCTAAACCAGTGTTTTGCTTAGAACAGAAAACCAGGATCCCTACACATTCACTGAATGCCAAAGCTTAATTCTGGATATACACTGCTAGTTTATGGCACTTAGAGATGATACTACCACAACATACAATAGCTTCATTACACTTTGGCTGTAAAAGGATCATGCACCTTAAGGCCTGTACAGGGACTAGGGAGAAGCAAGTGGAATGTGATCTATGCTTTTCAAAAGCTACCAAAATAACCACCCCATCGAGAACTGGCCATGCCCAGCCCACTGACTTGATTTTAACCCTGCAAAGAACCACCATTGAAAGATTAGCCCTGAAAATGAGATAAGACACCAAACCTGAAAAAAGAGATAAGACATGAAAGGGATGTAAGAAGGAAATGACTCCTATCTTTTTCACCACAGATACTAGACATTCCTCTTTCCTTGAGGATTTAACGTAACTTGGTATGTGTTCAACAGGGTCTTCCCCCCACCCAACAAAAAAAAAAAACACCCTAAAAACAATGGTCAGGATAAGAAACAATAGAGGCAGGCACCAAGAAGAAAACAAGTGCCATTCCTCGGCGCAAAGTTTTAACTCTAGGGCACATTTCCACTCTTTCCATCAGGAGCTTCCCTTACAGCCAAGCCGAAGCTGGGAAGGCACCGCGAGGGAGACGGGACTTCGCCCGGCAACTTTTACTTTCAGTTAACGAAACCGGGAGCAGGAAGGGTGGAAGAGGAAAACTCCGGAGGTCCAACCCACCCCCGCCAGGGTTTAATCCCGAAAGAGAGAGAGAGAGAGAGAGAGAGAGGCGGCTCCAAGCAAAGAAGATTAAACTCGAGGGCAGAGTGTGCGCCAACCAAGCGAGGAAGGGGGCCTGGAGGGGGGCAGCTCCACCTCTGCGAGCGGGGAGGCCAGAAGCTGAGAGAAAGAGGGGAGGGCAGAGGAGGGGGGAAGGGGCTCTGGGAAGGGAAGGGACGGGAAGGAAGGAAGGAAAGAAACGGCCGCCTGACTATTACCATGATTACCTGCTCCAGGTCAGTGAGGAAGATCTCCCTCTCCGCCGCGTTGGACGCCATTGCTGCTGGGTCTGGACTCCGCACCTGGGCGCCGCCGCCGGCACTGGGAAGGCGGGACTGGGCCAAGGCGGCGGCGGCGGTGAAGGGCGGGGGGGGCCCTCGCTCCCTCCCTCCCTCTTGTTCTCACGGCTACAGGGGTTGGGGTGGGGGGTGGGCGACAGAGGCAGCGCAGGGGGTGTGAACCCCCTCTCCTCACATTCACATGAGGGGAAGGTTTCACGTCGGGACGGACCGACGGGCGTCGCGCTGGCTGACTGGCTCCCGCCCACCGCCTGTCCTTTCCCCTCCCACCCCGCCAAAACCTTCGCGGGTGCCTCCGCCTCTTTCTCGGCTCCGGCACCAACTCCGCCTTCGCCGCCGCTCCTTGTCGCACTCTTTGAGGGTCACCCTGTCGCAAAAGCGGCTCCTGCTTTGCGGCTGCCGGCACGTGACTGCTGAGAGGCGAGGGCGGGGGAGAGAGAAAAGGGGAGCTTGGAACGTGAGGCTTGCCTTCCATGCGCCTGGAGGCGGCGGGGTCGGGGAAGGTGAGCGCGCACCGCCAGCCTCACCTTGTCCCGGTTGGGAGTGTGCGCTTGGAGGAGATGGTTGTTGTTTAGTTGTGTCCGACACTTCGTCATCCCATGGACCAGAGCACGCCAGGTCCTCCTGTCTTCCACTGCCTCCCAGAGTTCGGTCAAATTCATACTGGTAGCTTCAATGACATTGTCCATCCATCTCGTCCTCTGTCGTCCCCTCCTCCTCTTGCCTTCAAACTTTCCCAACATCAGGGTCTTTTCCAGGGAGTCTTCTCTTCTCACGAGATGGCCAAAGTACTGGAGCCTCAGCTTCAGGATCTGTCCTTCCAGTGAGCACTCAGGCTTGATTTCCTTCAGAATGGCTCAAGAGTCTCCTCCAGCACCACAATTCAAAAGCATCAATTCTTTGGTGGTCAGCCTTCTTTATGGTCCAGTTCTCACTTCCATAGATTGCTACTGGAAAAACCATAACTTTGACTATGCGCACCTTTGTTGGCAAGGTGACGTCTTTGTTTTTAAAGATGCTGTCTAGGTTTGTCATTGCTTTCCTTCCAAGAAGCAGGCGTCTTTTAATTTTGTGGCTGCTGTCACCATCTGCAGTGATCATGGAGCCCAAGAAAGTAAAATCTGTCACTGCCTCCATGTCTTCCCCTTCTATTTGCCAGGAGGTGATGGGGCCAGTGGCCTTGATCTTAGTTTTTGTGTTTGTGTTAAGCTTCAGACCATTTTTGCTCTCTCCTCTTGCACCCTCATTAAGAGGTTCTTTAATTCATCCTCACTTTCTGCCATCAGAGTGGTATCATCTGCCTGACCGAGGTTTTTGATATGACTTCCACTGTGTATTCATAAGGGATTTGTTTAGATGATACCTGATTAGCCCAGTGGTTTTTCCTACTTTATTCAGTTTAACCTTGAATTTTTCTATAAGAAGCTGATGATCAGAGGCACAATCAGCTCCAGGTCTTGTTTTTGCTGACTACAGAGCTTCTCTGTCTTTAGTTGGCGAGAATATAATCAATCTGATTTCAGTATTGCTCATCTGGTGATGCCCATGTGTAGAGTCGCCTTTTGTGTAGTTGGAAAAGAGTGTTTGTGATGACCAGCTTGTTCTCTTGACAAAACTATTAGCCTTTGCCCTGCTTTGTTTTGAACTCCAAGGCCAAACTTTCCTGTTGTTCCTTTTATCTCTTGTCTCCCTATATTTAGCATTCCAGTCCCCTGTAATGAGAAGAACATCTTTCTTAGGTGTCAGTTCTAGAAGGTGTTGTAAATCTTCAGAGAATTGGTCAATTTCATCCTCTTCAACATCAGTGGAAGGTGCATAAACATAGATTACTGTGATGTTGAAAGGTCTGTCTTGGATTTGTATTGACATCATTCTATGATTTTTGAGATTGTATCCCAGTGCAGCTTTTCCCACTCTTTTGTTGACTATGAGGGCTACTCCATTTCTTCTGTAGGATTCTTGCCCACAGTAGTAGATACGATAATCATCTGAATTGAATTCTCCCATTCCCGTCCATTTTAGTTCATTGATGCCCAGGATGTCAATGTTTATTCTTGCCATCTCCTGTTTGACCACATACATCTTGCCAAGATTCATAGATCTTACATTCCAGGTTCCTATGCAGCCTTTTTCTTTGCAGCCTCAGACTTTCCTTTCACTTCCAGGTGCGTCCACAGCTGAGCATCCTTTCGGCTTTGGCCAGACCATTTCATTAGCTCTTGAGCTACTTGTACCTGTCCCCCACTCTTCCTCAGTAGAATGTTGGATGCCTTCTGACCTGAGGGTCTCATCTTGCAGCATCATATCTTTTAGCCTTTTGTTTCTGTCCATTGAGGGTTTTTTGACAAAGATACTAGAGTGGCTTGCCAGTTCCTGCTCCAGGTGGATCATGTTTAGTCAGACCTCTCCACTATGACCTGTCAGTCTTGGGTGTCCCTGCACGGCATAGCCCATAGCTTTTCTGAATTACTCAAGCCCCTTCACCACAACAAGGCAGCAATCTGTGAAGGGGTTGGAGGAGATAGGAGAACATTTGAGCAGGCTCTCATCCAGCTGTCCTTGAACCAAACCTACTACTTTAAAATCTTGGAAAATATATAGCCATGGTTCTTGTTCGTTTCTATTTCCTTATCTCATATATTTTAAATTAGTATTTATTTTGTAATGCAGTCCTAACTATCTCTAGTCAGAAATCACTCAGAATAATAGTTCAGTTAGATTTATTCCCAGTTAAGAAAAAAAAAAAAAAAGTGCCAGCCTTCCTATACATTGTTAACCTCGTGCTCATTATGGCTTTGTTTCTGGAACCTTTTCAAACAGAAAATACAGAGTTCACAAATAAAGGAGTATTGTTAACTGTTGGAAAGCCAAGAGAAATCAATAAAGCTAAAAGAATGGGGGCTGGAAGGAGATATTTTCCTAAATTATGAAATTTCATGATTTAAAGCAAATTTTTTAAAATAATAACCCCTGAAATAGTTAGACTACAACCCCCATAATTACCAGATGGTATGGCCATCTAGAAATTATGGGAGGCAGTGGAATTTGTAGTTAAGCACATCTGACCGAAATATGTTGAGGTCTTGACTTGAGAACTTAATCCGTATTGGAAGGCGGTTCTCAAGTCAAAAAGTTCTCAGGTCAAATCTGCATTTCCCATAGGAATGCATTGAGAACCATTTGATCCGTATCTGCTCTTTTCCATCCATAGAAGCTAATGGGAAGCTGCTATTCCGCCTTCGACCACTAGAGGGGGATATTTTGTTTCTTTTTTTCTTAGGTCAAGAAAGGTTCAGGGAAGGCAGGGAAAATACAGTCCAGGCAGTCCAGTACCAGGCAGTCTGAAGACTGTCTCCCAATCCACTCTCTAAACGGTGGGAGGAGTGAGGAAGCAGACAGGCACCCTTTTCACTGGCCAACAGTTAACTGAAAGTTCAAATTTTGCACTTTCCCTGCCTCCCACGTGAGTTTTTTTCAGTTTGTAACTCAAATCTAAGTATGTAAGTCAAGTCAATATTTTCCTATGAGAGCGGTTCTTAAGTCAAAATGTTCTTAACTCGGGCTGTTCTTAAGTCAAGACCCCACTGTACATTGGATTTGTTAGGACTGCTCTAGACCAAGCCAACAGCAAAAGCTTGCTCCCATGTCCATGCCCTTCTTGCTTAAAGTGGGGAGTTTACCCTGTAAATCTTTAAAAGTGTTGAGATCAATGCAGGGAGAGTAGCATTGCCTTCTGGGTTACTGCTTCTCTATCTTTGGCCTCCCAGATGCCTTGGAGTTCAATCTGCCAGATGTCCCAGCCTGCTTGGCCAGTGGTTAAGGATTCTGGGAATCCCAACAAATACCTGGTAAACCAAAAACCGAGAATCACTGCTCAAGATTTCATGAGCTGAAATCATCAAGGCTTTCAGGATAATCACCCGCACCTTGAATGTTGCCTAGAAATGATTTAAAAGCTACTACAGCAGCTGCAATTGCAAAAAAAGGTTTTTTTAAATGCTTGAAGTTGGAGGAGTTTGATCACACCTCCTTAAATTTATCCAGCAGATTTTCATCAAGGGCAGATGCCTCTTTTTTTTTCGAGCAGAAGTACATAGTTCAATCACCTTGATGGTTTCAGAATAAATAAAAAAGATCACCAGCATATGCCATGCCAAGATCCACTCACCCGCCACCATGTTAATTTTATATGCTTCCTTTTGAATTTAAACAGCTATTTGGAGAAGAAGGGTGATCTTAGGTATTCTGTTGGAGCCTCCCTAGAAAGAAACTGATATCTACAAACAAGATTGTCTAATTATGCTCAGATGTAAATTTGTCTTACTAACTAAGGCACTGGGGGATATTTATATCACACTATTTCTGTTATTTTCGGTGGATTTGTTTGGCTGTAGTAACTGTAGATTGTTACCCTTCCATCCCCCTGTACCAACCAACACAATACTAGATTATGTTATGAGATGAGATGAGATTAAAATCCAGAATACTCTGGATCATTGGAGGAAAGCTCCTCACCCGTTTTGAATTGTTAAGTGGAAAATATTAGATTTGGAAGAGAAGGGTTGCTTTGACACAGTAATGCTTAAAAAAAAAGGAAAGCAGCAATAAACAACATTTTATCTATTAAAGAAGGAAATTCAACCTTACCTTTAGATAAATCAAGTGTTTGTTCCTTCTCAGGGTCCCTTGATCCCAAAGATTCCATTCTGCAGCTTTCACTCCCATGGTTTTCCTCAGGAGCTGACAGTGTTCTAGAGCCAGAGTTTAAAACCAGTCAGTTGGAGCATGCTCACTAGGTGTGGAAAACAGGGTGGAGGAGTATTGACTCAGCACCGTATTTTTTCCCCTCAGACTTTTTTATATTTTTACTTCATTTAACTTCATTTAAGGGAAGTCTGAGGCATATGTTGGTATGGAGCTATTTTAAGAGGAAGCTATTTTCTGTGAAGATCCGAGTTTTTATTAACTTCCCACAAGGGACGTGGACATTAAAGCTGTTCTTTAATGCACTTTGAAATCGAACTAGAAAGGAATAGCTAAAAGTTATAAAATGGAGGTTGTTGGAAAAAAATAATAAGTAAATTTTGGCTATAAAAGAGGGATTTGAAATATGAAATTGATGTCTTAAGCTGCGTGGGGAGTTTCTTCAAAATCAAGCAAGCTTTTTAGCATTTTAAGAAAAGTGTTTACAAATCAGGGCAGTAGGCAAAATTCTGGCAGAGTTGAGCCAGTGGAAATTTGGCACTGGGACCAGTCCAGCCAGAGAGCTCTGATAGGTTGGAACACAGCAGCAGTCCTAATGAAACTTGTTTTGGTGAGGTAGAGGATGTAGAGGAAGGCACA